CAAACCCCTCATACTTTCTTTTGTTTCTGGACACTTCCATAATCTCTCATCCCTTCCACCTATGTTTCCTTTTCTCCTTGCTTCTCCCCAGCTTCCAATCATATGCTGCCACACCCACCATTTTGTAAGGAGGCATATTTCCTTAACAGAGGTTAGTGAACAAAAAAACAACTTAACTCTTTGACCATCCTCCCCCCATTCTTTATGAAAATTGGATTAGGGATATGTATATGCATAACTCAGAGGCTTTATGCAAAACTTGTCATGTAACATCAATTTTACAGATATCTGCTGAATCTCTATATACTGTTTTTATGCATGTATCATTCTTGTATGTGAAGTTAGAGATATGACATATGGATCTGCTTATAGTTCTAAATGTGCTAAATGATGTTCTGGAAATATAATGGCTCAATACTCAAACCAATAGCCAGGGCTGGCTCTAGGTTTTTTGCTGCCCCAAGCAAAAACATTTTTGCCCCCCCGGGCCCTCCTTGGCCCGCTGCTGCAGGACAGGCACTGAGGAGGAAAGCACCCCTTTCACCTTGTGACTCTTTGACTCCCACCATGCCCTCCGGCCAAACCCAGCCTACGTCCTGTCTCCCCTTCACACACATCCCCTCCCTCACCTCCCAAACATGCACTCACCGAACCCAGTTTCCACCTTCTCTCCCCTCCCAGGAAAACCCGACCCCTCAGTGACCGGAACCTCAGTGACCGGACCCAGTCCATCCCCCCTTCACTCCCCCACCTAATCCACCCTGCGCCCTCTCTTCCCTTCCAGCCAAACCCGATCTTCCCCCCTCCCGGCCAGAACCAGTCCACTCCCCTCTCCCACCTGCCCCCACTGACTGAACTCCATCTCCTTTCCCTCTCCCCACCAAACCCTTGTGTCCCCTCCCCACAGCATGTGCGGAAACGTTGGCACGCCCTGGGGGAGGGGTGAAAGTGGCACGGTGCCAACCCCCCAGACCCTCCGGCAACGCACGGACAATCATCTCAGTGTCTGAGCAGAAGATGCAGCGTGGCAGGTGGGGGTGCACATACTG